TGTTGGTGGTTGTCACGTCGCAAAGGATGAACCTTGTAGAGGCTGGTTTAAGATTGCAGAACACTGGTTGAGTCATTGTAACTGGTGGTACATTTATCGTCACTTGGTCATTCTCGAAAATATACCTGTGGAGTGTGCTGCTTATATCTTGCTGGCGACGTTTCCAAAGACCTGTTCTAGTTCATTTACTACAGTTCTTGTCCAACCAACGAAGCGTTCCGTTCTTAGTCTACACTGACTGATCGCAGTTTATCTAGAACTTGCCAATGTAGGGCCATAATTTTATTCCAGCGGTCAACATTGCCTCTACAAAGACTGTCCTCTGAATCTGATAAATGTTTCTTAGCTTTAAGTCTTGAAATCAAATTTGTTTTTTTTTCAAATAGCGAAGGCTTGATTTCCTTATGATTATCATCAAATCATCGGCGGAGATGACTGATTTCTGCTTCATTTGAAGTGAACACAAACATGATACTTGAGGTGAATTAAAGAAAAACTGCATATGGTGTATTTGAATACTTTCTGATGGTCAATCGAATAATAAGTTGGTGTAAATTGAGTTTTATAGCGACTGGTAACAGAGCCATAAAACGAATAATTGCGACAGTTAGATCTACGAAAATCGGTGGTAGGTATTCAAATACAACACGCGTATCTATTGCATTTCTTATGCTTTTGCTTTATTTTTCCAATAGAATAACGTTTTTAAAGTTGTTCAAATGTTACCTGTGTCTGTGAAAACATTACCGACAGGTACATCGTCAGAATAACCCTCTGTAAATTTACGATGTTGACCAATCAAACTCATTGTTACAAAACAAATGTATTGGCAAAAATACATTTTCATAAGTTCTTTTGAATAAACAAACTATCATATGTGTGTGAATGATTCGTTTTATTTTTCTAGTCGAATAATGTCTATTGATGTGCTATGCATGTTGAATATTTATATCTTTTATATAGGTTTTTTTATGAAAATAAAGCTGTTGTCATTTTTTGTCGATTTATTGAAGATTTGCATGTAATGATAATGTAAATAAAAACAAAACCGCTTTTCAAAATGACAGCATCAAAAGCATCATCATGATATACATTTTGTTATGCTCACAGTTTTTTTCGTTGTAACCTCATGATTAAGTGGGTGCAAAAAGTCAAACACTTTGATTATCCATATTCGTCTCTCTCTGTTAATTCTTTATCCCCATTACCGGATTTTGTTATTTCTAGGACGGTCATATCGAGTTCTCATACTGTGTTCTATATCATGACAGGCTTTCCCAGTTCAATCGACTTTTCCATCGACAGTGCTTCCTGTTTTACCAGTATCCTTAAATGGACTCATTTTTTTATTATACAATATGGGATGAATATAAATATATATATATATATATATATATATATATGTCTAAATTGAAAACAACGTTCAAACCTATGATTGCGTTGGATAAAAACCGCAATTTTTATACGTGTGCATGCAAAACAAATTTCTTGTTAGAGGGCTCTAAATACAGCACAAACAACATTTTCCAAAAGACCAAATAGTGAAAAAGAATATTTTAACAAAACGCATTTGACTAACAGGTCGAACAACAAATGTTCTTAAACCCTGCTGACTGCCATTAGCGATTGCCAAATAAACGGATCACCGATGTAATAAATGGATCTTAATTATAAATTTAATACTAAACAGAAAACAATAAACTTGCGGAAAAGATGGTATACCGCAAACAAAAGGTGCAAAGGTTTTTGTACACCATATCCGGATTTCGACAATTAATGTCTCTTCAGTGATGTTAGGAATCGAAACGGTATTTGGAAGGCCTTATAATTTACCTCAATTTAGGATAGACTCTTGAATTTTGAAGAGTCGAAATAGGATGAACGGATCATATAAACCCGAAGGCAAATATAATACAAGCCCAAACGAAAAAATGTAAATAAGTCTAAATTGAAAACAACGTTCAAACCTATGATTGCGTTGGATAAAAACCGCAATTTTTATACGTGTGCATGAAAAACAAATTTCTTGTTAGAGGGGTCTAAATACAGCACAAACAACATTTTCCAAAAGACCAAATAGTGAAAAAGAATATTTTAACAAAACGCATTTGACTAACAGGTCGAACAACAAATGTTCTTAAACCCTGCTGACTGCCATTGGCGATTGCCAAATAAACGGATCACCGATGCAATAAATGGATCTTAATTATAAGTTTAATACTAAACAGAAAACAATAAATTTGCGGAAAAGATGGTATACCGCAAACAAAAGGTGCAAAGGTTTTTGTACACCTTATCCGGATATATATATATATATAAACAAGTCTAAATTGAAAACAACGTTCAAACATATGATTGCGTTGGATAAAAACCGCAATTTTTATACGTGTGCATGCAAAACAAATGTCTTGGTAGAGGGGTCTAAATACAGCACAAACAACATTTTCCAAAAGACCAAAAATGTGAAAAAGTATATTTTAACAAAACGCATTTGACTAACAGGTCGAACAACTGATGTTCTTAAACCCTGCTGACTGCCATTGGCGATTGCCAAATAAACGTATCACAAGATGTAACAAAATGGATCTTAAAAATTATTAATTTAATACCAAACAGAAAACAATAAACTTGCGGAAAAGATGGTATACCGCAAACAAAAGGTGCAAAAATTTGTACACCATATCCGGATTTCGACAATTAATGTCTCTTCAGTGATGTTAGGAATCGAAACGGTATTTGGAAGGCCATTATAATTTACCTCAATTTAGGATAGACTCTTGAATTTTGAAGAGTCGAAATAGGATGAACGGATCATATAAACCCGAAGGCAAATATAATACAAGCCCAAACAAAAAAATATAAACAAGTCTAAATTGAAAACAACGTTCAAACCTATGATTGCGTTGGATAAAAACCGCAATTTTTATACGTGTGCATGCAAAACAAATGTCTTGGTAGAGGGGTCTAAATACAGCACAAACAACATTTTCCAAAAGACCAAAAATGTGAAAAAATATATATTTTAACAAAACGCATTTGACTAACAGGTCGAACAACTGATGTTCTTAAACCCTGCTGACTGCCATTGGCGATTGCCAAATAAACGTATCACAAGATGTAACAAAATGGATCTTAAAAATTATTAATTTAATACCAAACAGAAAACAATAAACTTGCGGAAAAGATGGTATACCGCAAATATGAGGTGCAAAAATTTGTACATCATATCCGGATTTCGACAATTAATGTCTCTTCAGTGATGTTAGGAATCGAAACGGTATTTGGAAGGCCATTATAATTTACTTCAATTTAGGATAGACTCTTGAATTTTGAAGAGTCGAAATAGGATGAACGGATCATATAAACCCGAATGCAAATATAATACAAGCCCAAACAAAAAAATATAAACAAGTCTAAATTGAAAACAACGTTCAAACCTATGATTGCGTTGGATAAAAACCGCAATTTTTATACGTGTGCATGCAAAACAAATGTCTTGGTAGAGGGGTCTAAATACAGCACAAACAACATTTTCCAAAAGACCAAAAATGTGAAAAAGTATATTTTAACAAAACGCATTTGACTAACAGGTCGAACAACTGATGTTCTTAAACCCTGCTGACTGCCATTGACGATTGCCTATATATATATATAGCAAGCCACTTTGCCATGCTTGTTTCCTCTCCTTTTGCCGGCCCCAGCTAGGCTTGATACATCAGTATCTTCTCCACTTTCTACAGCCCTTTCAGCAGTCTGTGATTCTATAGTGGGGTCTATGACTGCGGATTCATCTGCAGCAGTAGACTCCTCACCCGAACCCGTCATGTTTGTTACATTTTGAATACAAGTAAGATACTGAAATCTTCCTCTAAATCTACTTTTCGCACCACGACTTCCAATTTTTTTAATACCTTAAACGGCATGTTTTCTCAAAAACACTAGTGTCCAATTGGAAGGTCAGGAACGAAGAGCGCAGTGACAACGTAGTGGAAACGTACTGGAATCGTGGTTCGATCGTAGTAGACTCGTATTGAGACCGTAATGCGATCGGGAAGATCATGGTAGAATTGTACAGAGATCGTGTAAGTCGTGGTTAAGTCATAATAGACGTAGCAAGAGAGTGACCAGAAGGTGTTACTATCGGTGGAATCGTAGCAGGATCTTTTCATGATTGTAGCAAGTCGTGGTATGAACGTTAAAACTATGAAATGTTAAATATTTAAGACGACCATACCACGATCTTGTGATCATCACGATCTTATTTTTTTATAGATCGTGGTGGTACTTCCATTGTCGTGGTCTAGTTTAAAGTGATAAGTGGGGATATTTTTGAAAGAAAATAGAAATAATTAGCTATTGGTTGAGATGGTAAATAGAGGATTTGAGAAGGTTGAAAGGGTTTATCTATGGTTGGGTTTTTTTTGTGCGTCCTTACCCTCCTAAAATAAACAGAATAAAAAAAAATGTGAATGTGAAAAATTTGCTTTATATATCAGGAATGTATCAGACAAAATATGGTTGAAATATAATTTATAGTTTGAAAGACCTTGTCATCAGTTAAATTTGAGAACAAAACTTTACGACAAAAGAGATCATTTTAGCTTTCCAATTGTAAACTTTACATTTCTATGCATCAACATTCCAGCAGCGTTAATAAATGGAGTATATATTTCCCAGTTGATCCGTGGCAGACGGTTGTTGCTCACAAGGAAACTATAACACAAAGAGTTACAAGTAATGAAGTTCAAATCCTTCCTTTTACCGACACCATTGCAAATTTCAGAGATGACGACGGAAATGTTACACTTGTCGTTACCATAATCTCGCCCTCTTTTCCAAGAATGTGGCCTATCCAATTAGACTCATCAGCGGAATTGCACTTATATGAGCAATGCAACAGGTCTCAAGAAAATATTAACCGTTGACGTGTAATAGTAACACATGAGAAAGAAAATGTTAGATATTCATTTCATTTAGATATAGTATTATTCTTCACCTACCATTTCTAGGAAACAGAAGATTCCACTGTGATTGGTTAATAATCTTTCTAACTTGTAGGTCATGTATTATGTTATATTGCTTTTTAATGGATGCATTTAAACAGGATGGAGAAAATTCACTGTCAAACAAAGATCGTACTGCACGAGAGGAGATCCCAGACAGCAACAAACTCATTCTTACATAGTTCTCTTCTTCCTCTGATATGGTTGTCATCTTGTTTCACCTCAAACACTAGTTTAGTCCTTTATAGTATTCAAAGAATGCTTCTGAAATTAGAGTGTATTTTTAAAGCATTAACCACTTTCCTAAAATAATATTTATACATATAAACTAGAAAACTACCAACGAACCGATACCGCTGGTTATATTTGACCTCAAGCTTAGTTATCCATTGTTATAAGGCAACATCAGTTGCGTCAAGAATAAACCCATATGTGTCAATACAAAAACTAAATTCAAATACTGCCAAGACGTTAGAAAAAACAACATTTTGATCTCATCATATCTGTATAAAATTCAACAATTACACAGATGACGTTAACAGAGCACCTGTTTCCCATCGTTTGCATCAACCAAACAGTTCCCTAAAGCAAGTTTCATTGTTTGTTATTTTTATTTTGGTACAAACCGTGTATTCTTCAATGGGTAAAGAGAAAGATCTTTTGTGTATGGTCATGGGGATGGCGTATGGTAAAATGGTGTATGGAAAATGGAGTAATTGATCAGAATTGGTATAATTTTCAAATGCAATGCTCCAAGGTCTAATAAGAGTAAGATACTACTCACGGTAGGTATATTGTCCTATGGAGCCCTTTTATCTCGAGTAAATCGGTCCACTTTTTTCGAGTGTAGATCAAGTTTTTTCGGGTAAAATTACATGCGATCAGATCGATTTATTGTCATTTCACGAGTAGAATAGTTTTATTCGTGACTGTTCATCTTATTTTGAATGCTATATATATATATACATACATGCTTTGAGTACATACGACACACAATTTCCTTGTAGGTACTTAGAGTGTTTTATATTTTCCGTGTTTTTTCGAGAGCAACATTTATAACGTCCGTGATTTACAACAAATGGTCCGGGACTTTTTAAGAAAAATGTGAATAAGAAAGAAGACATTTTTTGGCTTAAAAACTAAGTTTTTCTTTAGTTCGTAACTGTCATTTAGCGAAGAACAATATTATATAATATAAATAAGTCACAAAAACAAATAACTGTGTTGATAAAATTTAACCATTTTCAATTCAAATATAACTTTCTGTATGAAGACCATTTTACAATTACCTTGCAGTATTACGATATATAGAAAATCAATGGGTCCTTTTCTTAAGAACCGAGTACAGGGACTCATAATCTTTTGAGCTTCATTTCGTGATACTGTTTCTAAATTGAATGATATTTTATGATTGATATATATTACAGTGACGAAAAATATAGAAGCAAGAAAAATATGGAAAAGGAGTAAACAATTATAAAATTTCAATAAACACCCAAATATTCTACTAAAAGAGGCTTCCCCTCCAAAAACAAACATTTATTAGATTTTAGTTTGGTTCAACGAAATTTATACGATATATTTGGTTTACGGTTTGATTCGGAGGAAACACCGACATAGCTGGATGATACAATTAGTTATCTAATTACTACCATAATTTGATATTAATAAGTATTGTAATTTTCATTATTATTAATAAATGTAATGGCAGTATTGCAGATCTGGTCTTGGGTCAATCCTGGTCCTATCTTATTTTTGGGAAATATTTTTACAAATTCATATGTGACGTCACTTTGTGTGTTTTTTTAGAATTTCAAATGTGACGTCACTTTGTGCGTTGAGGCTTTAGCTAACTCGGCTGTGTATTTTTATATGTTGGATTAAGTTGTTTTATGTAATGTATCCGTTTTTATTCTGTAGTTAGTCCCCACTTTGGTTTTATCATGTATATCTATTATATAGTCATTTTATAAAATTTACTGTTTGCAAAATTATAAATTATTCTAAATAATAAGGATGTTCTTGTCCCAGGCAGAAAATCCTGTCCGTGTTAGGCGCAACTTTTTGGAAGTTTTGGTCCTCGGTGCTCTTCAGCTTTGTACTTGTTTTGGCTTTCAAACTTTTTTTATCTGAGAGTCACTGGTTGGTCTTGTGTGGACGAGACGCACGTCTGGCGTATTGAATTTTAAGCCTAGTACCTTCTGTTAGCTATTATTCGTGTGTTTCTTTGTCCTATATGTTCTCCCATTTATTTGTATTGTGGTCCTGTCATGTGATGTTGTCGTTTTGGTGTTGTGTTTGACGTTAACATAAAAGCGGGAGGTTTGGCATGCCACAAAACCAGGTTCAACCCACCATTTTTTTCTTAAAATGTCCTGTACCAAGTCAGGAAAATGGCCATTGTTATATTATAGTTCGTTTCTGTGTGTGTTACATTTTAATGTTGTGTTTTTGTTGTGTCGTTGTTCTCCTCTTATATTTGATGCGTTTCCCTCAGTTTTAGTTTGTAACCCGGATTTGTTTTTATCTCTACCGATTTATGAGTTTCGAACAGCGGTATACTACTGTTGCCTTTATAGATACATTACAATTATAAAATTTCAATTTAATGGACTATCTAATAAAAAAGAAGGTATCTTGGATATGGACAAAAATTTTGCCTTGCAACAGGCCATATACGGACCCTTCATAGAGCTGTTGTAAATGTTCGTACCGTGCAATGAGCGAAGCACTCTCTCTTCGATCCCCATTCTGACCGGATGTGGCTGCGTACTTGAACATCCCAAACAGCTAAACGGACGTCCCACTTTGGAAAGGTTTTACTGCTGGTCGGAAGAGGACTTAAGTGGCCATATTTCTATTCTCAAGTCAACCTTGGAGGTACATAATTTACTGAGGTGATGATAAACACGGGGACAATGTAAATATAAACAACGAATTATTGCTAAGCTTTAAAACGATACTTTGAAATAACAATAAAAGATATACATTGCCAATTTTTATTATTTTAATTTCTGATGGAAATGAAGCTATGATGATGCTTTATTACTGTGTGATCAAGCATAGCACACGCTTGATCAGACTCCTCTCCACAGTAGGAGCAATTGAACATTGTTCTTTATTTCCATTTGTAGAAGGATAAAACATTTTTTCATCAAGGAAAATAGTAAATGAAACATTTAAGATATATTTTCTGTAAAGAAAACACATTTACCCCCTTTACACACTATGTGTACGTACGTCGCAAGCAAACTTGTCTGAGCATTAAGATTGTTTTACATCACGAAATATTAACTGTATGGAATTCATAAAGGTACACTAACATGAAGATTTCTGAATGCAAATAAACGATGACTGTTTGTGAAATGTACGTATTAATACAGCATTATCAAACTGGATTCATTATGCATAATGCATTGTTTCGTGCTTTGGAAAGAACTTTATGTGAAAGTTTTAACTTTTTTAACGTAAATGCACTGACATATTACATTTTAAGCTACAGAAATTTTGTTTTGTTTACCTCGATAAAACAAGGACGCACTCGAACAAACACGGACTACTCTCGAAAAATAACGGACATATAAACATGTCCTTTTGAATGCAAAAACAAGAATATTTTTATAGTGTCTGTATATCAAGGTATATACTCTACGACAGATCCATCCATTGGATCACCTTCACTGGTGATTCAATGAATGGATCTGTCGTAGAGTTGTCACTTGTTTAGACGTACTTCATTTCTGTGACTGCATCTTACTATCCTTTAAGACAGATAATCTGCAATCAATTCCTTCTTCATGTCTAAAATATCATGTACTGTGTTACAACTCTAGATTCTACTGAGGAGGAATGGTAACACTAGGCCAACGAAAGCTGAATTATCTAGTGATCTATAGCGATGGACAGAGTGCAGGCGGTGTTGTGCTGATATTTAGAGTAATTATCTAAGTATATATAATAAGTACGTCTGAACCAGTGACGACTATACAACAGATTTTATCCATCGGATCACCAGCAGTGATGGTGATACAAGGCTGAAAATACATTCTGTATATATAATTCGTCTAAACAACAGCCCAACAATGATAGATCTGTAAATTTGCGGAAGCAAATTTTTTGTTCTTCCCCGGACGGGATTCGAACTCATGCTACTGAGATATCGTGGCCCCAAATCGCCACTGGTTCAGTACTTATAACATAATTATTTCTGTGACTGCATCTTACATTAATTTGTAGGATCCTTTACAATAGATAATTCTGCTTATCTGTAACAATTCCATCTTCATGCCTTATATATCATGTACTGTGTTACGACGCTAGATAAAAACTGACGAGGAAAGGTAAAACCCGGCCACCGAAAGCTTTATTATTATAGAGTCTACGTGGTCGAGTGGTCTAGCGCGTCGGGCATAGTGCAAGTCGATTTTGGTGCCACGATATCTCAGTAGCATGAGTTCGAATCCCGGCCAGGGAAGAATTAAAAAGAATATTATGCCGCTGCTGGTGGACGTTTCGTCCCGAGGGTATCACCAGCCCAGTAGTCAGCCCTTCGGTGTTGACATGAATATCAATTATATGGTCATTTTTATAAATTTCCTGTTACAAAACTTTTGATTTTTTTGGAAAACTAAGGATTTTCTTATCCCAGGAATAGATTACCTTAGCCGTATTTGGCACAACTTTTTGGAATTTTGGGTCCTCAATGCTCTCCAACTTTGTACTTGTTTGGCTTTATAACTATTTTGATCTGAGCGTCACTGATGAGTCTGATGTAGACGAAACACGCGTCTGGCGAATTAAATTATAATCCTGGTACCTTTGATAACTATATACAACCAATCTGTAAAGTCAATACTTGCACCAAATATTTAGTATGCTTATAAATCTTTCTCAAGAAAGACTACACCAAAAACCCAATCGAAAATCCGAAGTGAAGTTAGATCAAACAACAATGGTAAGAAGGACTTGTTAAAACCCTAGTTTTATCTTAAGTATATGAATCTCACTAAAAAATACACAAGGTATAAGAATCTTCAGAAAAGATGTCAGTTCCTACCATTTATTGAAATGGCATCTAAAATGGTTGCTTATTGACATGGACAGATACATGGATTCGTCTATTTTCGTCACTAAGTGAGCGTCAAGCAAATCAATGAAGTCTTTTTTTTATTTATATCGTAACTAAAATAAAACGCATTAGGCAGCGACATTTATCTTACATCTGGTGGAACATATATATGATATAACATATATATGATATAACT